CTGGTGCGCCCCGATGATGTCATTGAGGAACACCATACGGCAGGGATAAAAGCTGGGAACGGGAAGGCAGCAGGGGGACAGCTGTGGGACCACTGAGCCAAATGAAAACCCCAGACATGGCCAAGGAGGGGCTGAAGAGGGACCCAGCCAGAGGGTCCAAGGCCTGATTTAAAGGGCCACACCACCCTGGACGGTGAGGGAGTCAGTCAGGAGGAGAACGCCGAGAGATAGCAAAGCCGGCAAACGCAGGATGCGTGAATGGGAGTGGGCAGAGGCCCCTCCCTGGAATTTTGGTTCTTTAGTTATATTTTAGTTACCTTGAAACCAGCCCCCCACCCCTTGGCAGATGCCAAGGGTGAGCAAGCCAGGGCCACTCAGAAGAGCCCAGTGCAGATAGGGTAGGCGCACCAGTGAGGTCATTGCACCGCCTGGGCAAACCTGGGTGGTGGGAAGAAAGACTTGTGAGCACTGAGGGCCAGAGAGGGAGGGGGGTACCACAACAAGGCGGAGCTGAATCAACCATCATTTGGCCGCACTGATAGGCTGGTGCATGACTGGTGTGTAGCGTAGGTGGAGCCCCAAGAATGATCTCTAGTGTCGATGTCCGGCGTGTTCCCCATGAAGGAAGGGGAAGGCCTACTACTGAACAGAACACCCAAGACGTGGCAGGCCCCCAAGACCGGGGTATTCCCTACGGAGAACGTGATACTGCGTCATAACAACTGGAGCCATCTGCGTGACATACCCCTAGGGTGTGCTTCAGGGCCTCACGGGAGAGGCTCCATGAAGTTAGGCGGGCACAAGTACAAATGTAAGAATTTTTGCTTATAACCTTGGACGCTGCCTGGATCAATAGTTACAAAAATATTGTGCGGGGTTCTTTTTTCCCTCAGCTTTATAAAGGTCACCTTATAAGGATAAGGCACTATTTCTGTAGAACCATAATTTGATCATGTTATACTGTTGTCCCATTGTGATTGCTGGGGCCTTATGGGTGGCACAGCCTGTTGGGCATGTAGCCCCTCCCCTCAACTCGCCTGCCACGACTTTGATGTTAAGTTATCAAGAGAGGGGGGTTCAGTGGAGATCTTTCTGGGAGGGCTTCCCAACAAGGCAGTACTCACGATTGTTTGGCGTGATGTTTCATGGGGCGCCGCCTCCCCTACATCCTGTCCACTCGCCAGCTGGATAGGTGGTGGTGTGATGGTGGTTTCGGCTTTGCAAGCTTGCTCTCTGCCTGCTCCAGGTGGCGGACCCACGTCTGAGGGCTCAGTCAGCTCTTGTCCCTCTGGTGTTGAGGCCCCAATCTTCTTGCTCTGTCACTTTGTTTTTTTCTCTCTTTTCTTTTCCTTTTCCTGTTTTCCCTCAGAAGAAATATTCTCCTGGGGAGGAGAAGGATGGGGAGCTGCCTCCTTTCCCCCCGCCTCCTACCTGGGGCTGAAGGTGCTTCCCCTGCTCTGCCTCCGGCAGGGGGCTGAAGTGCTTCCCCTGCTCTGCCTCCGGCAGGGGGCTTGTGGATTTCCCCTGCTGTGCTCTCCACTGCTGTTCTGGCAGTGCCGCTCCTCTTCCCTGTAGAAGCCTCAGCACATCTGGTGTGCTGTCCACCTACTTTCTCTCCCTCTGGCTCCTCCCTTGCCCGGGGTCTGTTGGGGCTTTTGTACCGGCCGCCGCAATTGGTCCAGCTCTTCCCCGCGCAGGGAACAACCGATTAAAACAGCTGGCATAACGACGGCTCGCGTGGCTGTGGCCACGGTCCGGCTCCTGTGCTCATGGGCCGGCAGCAGGTAAGTTCTCCCCGTGGGGGGTCTGTTTCTGGGTTTTGGGACCCGTGGAGCTTGCCCTTGCCCCTTTGAAAGCCTGTGGTTACGTGTCGCCACCACACCCATATGAAGGAAACCCTTGCCCCCTCCTCCCCCCCCTTATCTCATTTAACAATTGTGGGAGAGCGGAGGAAATAGAAAAGTCTATTAAACTTGCTTGTAAGCTCTCAAATGTTCTAGGTAGGGATAAGAAGGTTGTGTGCTGGCATGTGCAAAAACACAAGTGTCACCTGAATTATTAAAATAGAATCTCTTCCTAAAGGTATACAGTGTGTGACAGTGGTGTGTGTAATATGTCGCAGTTCTATCTGTGGTCACCATTCATTTTTGTGCTAGAGTGCTTACTTGGTGAAGGTGGTTAGGCACATCACTTTTTGTTATCTCTTGGAGATGGAAGCAAAGGCATTATTCACAAAGTATTGAAGGGCATTAGTGGCATAGATTATGTGAAAGTGGTTATACTTTTTTTTAAGTTATGCTCACTTAGAAGTATGGTGGAATCAGAAAAGTAGTATGGGTTTATAAGTCTAGTCATAAGCTTGCTCTGTTACAGAATTGCAAAACTAATGCTTGAAGGTATGTTTGTATTTTAATAAAGGCTATAATATTCAAATTCATTTTTCAAGTAGAATTGAAGATCATCTTGGATTACAGTAATGGAAGGGGCAGCGTTGCAGGAAGTATTAATAAACCGTAATGTGAAACAGGATTGTACTGGGTTCGGGAATGTAATCTGACACTAGGAAAATCTTTTAAGTTTCATTTTATTTGTTTGCAGTAATCAACTCAGAGTGAGTAAATTGTGTTTAGAAAACAACTTTCAGGTAAAATTAGTATTAGCTTTGATTGTAATATGTCTAAATGTTGTTATACTTAAGTAACCTAATATAGCAGAATAATTTTTTTGTGTACTTCATAAATGAGTCTTCTGCATAGTGAATATACCCAGTTTCCCATTATAATTGATCCATTGACTCCTTGCTTTCCTTTTATGAACAAAGAAGGTGAACAGCAAATCCTTAAATGTAGGCAATAAACTTTAAAAAATCAGGACTTAATATCAGGATGGATTTAATAAAAGAGAACTTTTTAAAAAAAGTTCAAGTTGATTGTATCTCTTTACAATGGGAGGAATTGCTGTCACTAGTTGGAACACCAGCACAGTATAAATTATTTATGCAGATGGGAATACAAACAGAAGACAGTTAAATATCCTATGCTGAATATCAATATGATGCATATATAAACGATCCTTAAACAAATAATTAAATAGAAGGGAGACATTTGGACAAGAGTACTATTGAAATGAATGATGGTGGCTAGCAAATGAGGCTTAAGTATTCAGTTTATTTTGGCAGCCAGAAAAGCCAGTGATTGAACTGAATACATGACAGTCCTCTTCATAGTTTCATTGCAGCTGTACACAGATCTGTGGGGAACTCCAAAGGCTGGATGACAAAGTGCAGGCAGGCTGGACCTGTCCCACAGGCTAGGGGTTGAGTACCCCTGAGTTAATGCTTAATGAACATAACTGCATGGTATCATGGATTTTTTAAAACTTTTTAAATAAGTATTTGCTATCTTAATGGACTGACTTTTTTGAACATTTTGCAGGAGTGATGGGTCCTGACTGAAAAAAATTTAGTGGCAAGTGCCTGAAAAACTTTGCAACATTAGAGAGGCAGTATGGAAAGTCACAAGGTGGTTGAGAGGCTTGGTAGATAAAAGGGGCACCTAGAATCCTGTCACAGTTTTTAGAGTTTTGGCAATGATGCATAAAACAAAGTTGAGGAAGTAGGAGGGGATCAGTGATGGGCCATCATCAGGAATGAATGGGTAAGACCTAGAGGTGCATCGATACATCGTACTGATATCTGATTGGTACCGATCTAAAGAAAATTTACTATATCAGATATCGGCCCAATGGGGCTGATAATTTGGCCGATAAATGCTTGTACTGTGCGCAGCTGCAATGCAGTGAGGAGCAGAGCTGGCAGTATGCAGAGCTGCCTCCAGCTGTTTAGTCCAGTGTGGTAGAAGGGAGGGGGAAGGAAGGTGCATGGGGCGAGTTGATCAATGCCCCTTGTGGTGAGGGAGGGGCAGGCGCTCTCCAGGTGGGATGGGCATGTGGGGGAGTTGGCTCCTGCTGCTGCGTATGCCCCCTGGATCTGCGCAAGGTGGGTCAGGGTGGGCTGCAACTGGTGCTGCACAGGGCTCTTTGTGGGGGCTGGACTCAGAGCGGGCACTGGCAATGCTGGGAGGATGCTGTATCCACTCCAGATTTTGCTGCTGCTCTGCTCCTAGCGCCGCTGCTGCCAGCCTGGCTTTTCCCAGTGTGTGGGTGGAGGCAGGGCATTGAGCCAGAGCAGTGCGGAGCGGCTGGCGATGGTGATTCTGGGAGCGGAGCAGCAGCAAAATTTGGGATGGATGCAGCATCCTCCCAGTGCCTCCGCTGCCTGCTCCGAGCCCAGCCCTGCCAAGAAGAGCCCCGCACGGTGCTGGCTGCAGCCTGCCCCGCACAGCTCTGGAGGGCACACTCCTCCCCTGTGCCCTCGCAGGGTGCAAGCAGTAGAAGGAGCTGCTCCCCCTACCCAGCTGCAGTGCCCCCATGCCCCCCTTGCCTGGGCAGTGCCTGCCCCTACCCCCTCCCTCACCACAGGGGACATTGATCTTCCCTCACGCCCCTTCCACCACACCAATCTAAATCTACTCTCCTTCAGCTTATGGCTGAGTGGCTCCCTGGTAAACAGAGTATCCCTTTATTTGCTCAAGGAAGTAGGTGATAGACACTCTAGAAACAATGTATAAAAGTTGAACCTCCTGTTTAATAGTGGCTTTAGAAAATACTGCATTGGTAATTTTTGGTGGAATTCAAATTAGTCTAACATTATAATCCTAAATCAATCTTTAGTAAAGCTCTTTGCAATACTAAATGGATATATTCATTTGGAGGAATGAAACAGGAATTCTCATCTCTGTTTCATCTGATTCTCATTCTTGCATCTAGATACCAAGTGTGGGGAAGGAAAATCATGCCTTCTACCTATTGATGATTCACATTGCTAGGGATATGATTGGGGACATGCAAAGAAGGAAGGGTTTAGAGGTATAAGTAGACGTTAAAGAGGGGAGACCAGAAAGAAAACTGTTTATCCTGACTTGCTATTTTTTTATTTGCAGACAGAGACGGGGGAAATGAGTAGAAATACTGAACTGAAGAAGCTGCAGATCTTTGGAGCTGGACCCAAGATGATGGGATTGGCATTGGGATCAAAAGATAAGGAAGGTAAGTAAGTCTCTGTTGCTGTTGTAAGATGGGAAGGACTAGTTAGTCTGAAACAGTCCTTTGAAACAAATCTCTGCTGTCTCCAGACACAAGTGGGAAGAGATTAAAGTGGGGCAACTGTAACAGGGTAAAGGAAGTTAAAACTTTTTTTTTTTGAGAAGGATAATGAAACCCAGGATACCTAACTGGTTCTGTAGGATTGTTCGTATGTCTTGATATTGATTTAGTTCTTTATATGGTTAAACGTGAGCATTAAGCAGCTGCTGCACAAATTAATTGCAAATGAACTGGATTAGAAAAGTGGTGCGTGAATTTTAAGAGCATTCATTTTTGCTGAGCACGTGGTTTGAGAGTATTGCAATATGTTTCATGGGGTAACTGGATCACTTGTTAAGATCAGCAACAGACGTTTTACCCTTCCTCAGTTACACTGCTTTGGTGCTAATTATCCAGGTGCAGCAACCCATTCTTGTTTTTCGTGGAAGCATTGGATAGTCTTTGCTGCTAGAGGCAGGATATTACATGATCTTTGTGCTGTTTAATTACATGACACTCTCTTTGCTCCAAGATGAGGTGACTCGAAGACGCAAAGGCACCAGGTCAGAAGCCTTTGGTATGCAGATGAGGCAACGCAAAGGGACACTCTCTGTCAACTTTGTAAGTTTAATTCCTTTGCTCTTAAGTAGGCAAGCGTAGGAAACTCAGCTATTTTACCTTCGTGTGCCTTAAATGACTATAATTGAACACAGAAGTTGCACTTAAGTGCCATTTTTTACACTTGCACAGTATTTTTTTTTTGGTTCAGTTTTCAGTGACATTACTATATTTGCCCTGTGTTTCCCTTTTGATTATGCTCAGGAGTCTCTAGTATGGCCTTACATGGTCTGTGGTAGAATAGGATTGTGTGGGTAGGTTCATTAACTGTGTTAGTGTGGTTGGAAAAAAACTGTGCCTAGGAACTGTTTAATTCAGGTGGAGGAAACCCTGCCCATTTGGTTTGATTTGATTTGATTTTTTTAGCTCAGTAACTCAGACCCACACTTAGATCTATCTTGTTCGGAGTTGGCTTCAAACCTTCATCTTCTGCCTTCCAGCAAAGTGCTTTAACTGCCAGCAATGGGTTAGGCTGGAGGTGGCAGCCTCTGACAAGAGTGCTACAACTGGCATGGGCAGCATCTGTGTGTAGCACAGTGGCAGATCCAGAAGGGGACAGGCAGCAAAACAGGGCAGGAAGCAGGAGGCAGAGCAGGAGATCAGGCAGGGAGTACAGGGCAGGGAACAGAGTAGAAAGCAAAGAAACAGATCAGGCAGGGGAAGGGGATTGGAATATCACTCAGGGTGGGTGTGGGCCTGTGGCACACCTGCCAAAAAGGTTGGCCCTCCCTAGGCCAGACATTGCTTAGAGGACCCTCTTGAAGCTATCCCAGTGAACAGCCAAGAGGGGAAGATGTGAGGGCAGGAAAAGAACAAGCCAGAGGGAAGAGCCCTTCAGTGAGAGGCATACCACCCTGGAGTGTAGGGGCCCTGGATCTGGCTTCCTCTCCAGCCCCTGCTCCCAGTGGCTTTTGTATACCTTGCATTTAATATGCTCTGCAAAAAATGGATAAGCAGTAGTGGCATAGCTTCTGTCCCAGAGGGTGCCGGGGCCAGAACCTGGGGCCTGGTTCTGTGGCATTATGGGAATATTCAGAGGTGTTCTGATCCTGTGCTAAGTGGGAACGCCATATAAGTACCAAGATAGTATCAATTACAGAAACCAGAGGATTATCTTTCTCTAAAATTTGCCATTTTGAGTTTTAACTTCTTATTTTGTAAGCTGTCCAGATAAAACATAAAGGAAAGCTTTCAAGGAAAGATATAAAATCTGTATAGCTTTCTGATAGTTGAATATAGGAAAACAGGTATCTAGTTGCTTTTATGTTCTTGGAGAACTCAAGGCCTTGTTTTTAACCTGCTGCACTTGGCTCGTGTACTACACTGCTGAATAGGGATTTGTACTTCTAACATATTAGAAAAAATAAGGCTTAGAGACTGTTCAAAGCAGCATGCTGAGTATGTAAAATGCATTATTTTTTTCTTAGCTTCAGAAAATATTTCCAAAGTGTATTGCGACTAATTGAGACTTTAGTCATTGAGGGCAAAAACTGCCTTTAGCAGAAACGCTAATAATCTTTTAGATGGTAAAATGCCTCCTGGGATAAATTATAAGAGGCACAAACTGCAAATTTGCAGCAATAGATGGATGCTTGAAAGCAGACAACCATGCTAGTATGAATAGGCTTGAGCTTGCCTGAATTAAAAACCTAAAAAAACTTGGGTTTCATTGGTACAGTAAAAGCTCTGTTATCCGGCATCCCCCAGGAATTATAATCATTTTTTTTTACCCATGTCAGTCCTGAAAATATGACTTTTTTGGGTGGTGCTTTTTATGCCGGGCTTTTTCCCTGTTAGTTTTTTTTTTTTTTTTTCACCCATGTCAGTCCTGAAAATATGACTTTTTTGGGTGGTGCTTTTTATGCCGGGCTTTTTCCCTGTTAGTTTTTTTTTTTTTTTTTCACCCATGTCAGTCCTGAAAATATGACTTTTTTGGGTGGTGCTTTTTATGCCGGGCTTTTTCCCTGTTAGTTTTTTTTTTTTTTTTTCACCCATGTCAGTCCTGAAAATATGACTTTTTTGGATGGTGCTTTTTATGCAGGGCTTTTTCCATGTCAGTTTTTTTTTTTTTTTTTTTTTATAAAGTATGACTGACTTCCATTAAGTAACTTGAAGGAAACAGAACATTTTTCCCATGTTAAAAATAAAATTGTGTGTTTGTGGTGGGGGACCCGTTATACTTTTAGAAATTCTTACAACAAAAACACCATGTGTATTTGAATCCAAGGTGAAGAATTTTTTTCTCATTCAACACTGGGGGAAAGGGGAGTGGGGAATAGCTTCATCTAGGATTCAAGTGCTGGGTTGTACCAAGGCTGAAGATGCCATTGCCCCTGCTGTCGGGTTGGGGCCAAGATAGTTTGTGCGATGAGGGAGACCATGTGGGGTGAGAGAGAGTGTCAGGATGACGAATGTGGGGGAGACTGCATGGCAGAAGGGGAGCTACTGTGACTCTGCCTCTGGCTTCAACTCAGGCCATGGGCCAGAGCTTCTGTTGGCCCCAGGGCTCCAGTTAGGCTGGAGCTGGAGGCAGAGCCGTTGCATAGGTTAAGCAGTGGAAGAGAGGTAGGGAGGAAAGTGGTTAGAGGATGTGGAGATGGGTAGCGGGGGGCAGAGGGGATGTAGCCAAGGGGTGGGGCAGGTGGTTGGAGGTCAGGTTGCTTGCTGCCCTCAGTTGCTGCTTTCCCCATTGCAGCAGTTGGGGGTGGGGGGTGAATTTAAGATTGCCCTCCAATAATTAGATTCTATATATGGAAAACCGTAACAAATTTATAATTTCCCATGTAGAAATCTAATTATTGGGGTGGGGGGTTGGTCATTTTAAACTTGAAGTTGTCTTGGATTTCAGTAAATATGGTAGGTAGTTTGAAACACAGCCTAGACATGGTAATCCATGAGAACCAGTGTTATGACATGGTTTGGAGATTTGTTGGCTTCTTTGGAATTGATCGCTTGACCATTTCAATAGATAATATAGTGTTTTAAGGAAGAGTGCAAGGCTGAACTGCTAGGAGAGAGCGTACTTAAATAGAATGAGATGCTTCAAGTTTATGACATGTGTACCCAGCCACCCTGAAAGTGAAATGAAAAGAACTTAATATGCTGGTGCACTCAGTGACTTTTTTTAAACTAGTGACCTGACTAATGCTTTTGGCCTGCATAAT